GTGAAACTCCGTCTCAAAAAAAAAAAAAAAAAAAAAAAAAGAAAGGATGTCCGAGTGAAAGAGTGACCAGATAACACTGAACATTCTTAGAAAACAAAAGCAACCAACAAAGCATTAGTCATTTGTTCTTTCAGCTCTCTAAATGAAGGCAAACTTTTTTGGACTTGGTATAGCACTGGGTGACTATAGGGCGATGAGAGTTTTTCTGTTGGTAAAGCGGAAAACGGGCCAGCTTGGGACTTGAGATGGTTAAGGAGGCTCAGCTCATTATTGCTATAAGGCCAGCTTGATTCCAGTGGCTTGCTAGATCACCTTTGACCAAGGTGAAAGCAAATTTGTTTTCATTACATATTTCATTAGTAATGCTTCCTAATAGCCAAGAGATTGGGAATTGGTACATGTGCATTTTTCTGGGGATAGAATTATGAATAGGGGGCTGGATACGTGGCTCATGCCTGTAATCCGAGCACTTTGGGAGGCTAACGCAGGAGGATCACTTGAGGTCAGGAGTTTGAGACCAGCCTGGCCAGCATGGTGAAACCCAGTCTCTACTGAAAGTACAAAAAATCAGCTGGGCGTGGTGGCACGTGCCTGTAATCCCAACTACTTGGGAAGTTGAGGTAGGAGAATTGCTTGAACATGGAGGGTGGAGTTGTAGTAAGCAGAGATTGTGCCACTGCACTCCAGCCTGGGTGACAGAGCAAGACTCCATCTCAAAAAAAAAAAAAAGAAAATCATGAATTAGGGTCTCAGACCAAGATCATTGTGTACTGGTGGTTCCTGCATGCTAAGTTAGTATGTTCTCTGTTCCTTGGGGTGCTGATTTAAAATCCAATGGAGCTGGGGTTTACTTCCTTTTAAAATATATGTTTTTCTTTTTTTTTTTTGAAACGGAGTCTCCCTCTGTTGCTCAGACTGGAGTTCAGTGGCACAATCTCTGGTCACTGCAACCTCCATCTCCTGGGTTTAAGCGATTCTACTGCCTCAGCCTCCTAAGTAGCTGGGACTACAGGCACCTGGCACCACACCCGGCTAATTTTTGTATTTTGTACAGGTGGGGTTTCGCCATTTTGCCCAGGTTGGTCTCGAACTCCTGACCTCAAGTGATCCGCCTGCTTCGGCCTCCCAAAGTGCTAGGATTACAGGCATGAGCCACCATGCCCAGCCCTTTAAAACTGTATCTTAATATAGTATAGTTACCATGAAGCTATTGCTGGATTTGGATGGAAGTGGCTTCAGGCAGGTTCACAGAACAGCAGCAGTGGCATCACCTATGAGTTTGTTAGAAATGGGAAATGCAAATTCATAGATCCTACCACCAAACTCCTGAAAGCAGAATCTCTCTGGATGGGTTCCAGGAACTTAAAGAAACTCTACTTGTGCAAGATGGGACAAGCTAATGTCTGAGTGATGCTAAAGTTTGAGAGGGACTGAACTAAAAGCAAACCAGCTGGGCGCGGTGGCTTACACCTGTAATCCCAGCACTTTGGGAAGTCAAGGCCTGCGGATCACCTGAGGTCAGGGGTTTGTGACCAGCCTGGCCAACACGGGGAACCACCATCTCTAATAAAAATACAAAAATTAGCTGCACGTACCTGTAGTCCCAGCTACTCAGGAAGCTGAGGCAGGAGAATGGCTTGGACTCAGGAGGTGAAGGTTGCAGTGAACCGAGATGGCGCCGCTGTACTCCGACCTGGGCAACAGAGCGAGACGCTGTCTCCAAAAAATAAATAAAAATAAAATAAAGCAAACCTTTTGGTATGCTCCTTCGGCTGGCGGCGGCTGCTGCTGCTGCTGCTTTTTTTTTTTTTTTTTTTTTTTTGGAGACGGAGTTTAACTCATGTTACCCAGGCTGGAGTGCAATGGCGCGATCTCGGCTCACCGCAACCTCTGCCTCCTGGGTTCAGGCAATTCTCCTGCCTTAGCCTCCTGAGTAGCTGGGATTACAGGCACGCACCACCATGCCCAGCTAATTTTTTGTATTTTTAGTAGAGACGGGGTTTCACCATGTTGACCAGGATGGTCTCGATTTCTTGACCTCGTGATCCACCCGCCTCGGCCTCCCAAAGTGCTGGGATTACAGGCGTGAGCCACCGCGCCCGGCCTGCTTTTTTTTCTTCTCATCCCTTTGCAACCCTTTAACTCTGGTGCAAGCCTGCTTTACTAGTTATAAAGTTGCTTTGCCTGTTCTCAGGCAGGAGGTAGGGATACTTTCAAATTTTTTTCAGATCATTCTAGTTAGCCTCTGGTAATTAACCTTGTAGCCAGGGTTTTTGTTTGTTTTGTTTTGTTTACATGTCATCCTTGTGGAGGAGGCATGCTAATCTCTATATTCCACTTTTAGCCTTTTGAAGGTGGCTCCTTTATGAGTGCCCTCCTTGTTTATGTAGATCCACAAGAGTTTGATGTTCAGTGTGGTAACTTAAATTTAAGGCAGTTTATAGGATAAGGGCTAAGAGTTTTGGAGTCTAAAGACATTCTAATGTTAAAAGAAAAACTTCAGCTGGGTGTGGTGGCTCACGCCTGAAATCCCAACACTTTGGGAGGCCAAGGTGGGTGGATCACTTGAGGCCAGGAGTTCCAGACCAGCCTGGCCAACATGGCGAAACCCTGTCTCTACTAAAAGTACAAAAATTAGCTGGGCGTGGTGGTGCGTGCCTGTAATCCCAGCTACTTGGGAGGCTGAGATGGAAGAATCGCTTGAACCCAGGAGATGGAGATTACAGTGAGCCGAGATTCTGCCAGGCTCTCGCCAGGCTCCGCCAGGATGAAGTGCAACTTCCTGGGCCACAGAATGAGACTCTATCTCAAAACAAAAACAAAAAACTTCAGGCTGGGCAGAGTGGCTAGTGCCTATAATCCCAGCACTTTGGGAGGCTGAGGCAGGGGGATCCCTTGAGGTCAGGAGTTCGAGACCAGCCTGACCAACATGGTGAAACCTCAGTCTCTACCAAAATATATAAAAATTAGCTGGGCATGGTGGCCCATGTCTGTAGTCCCAGCCACGCAGGAGGCTGAGAAGGGAGGATCTCTTGAACCTGGAGGCAGAGGTTGCAGTGAGCCAAGATAGTACCACTGCACTCCAGCCTGGGTGAGAGACTCCTCAAAAAAAGAAGCAAACAAACAAACTCGCTAAATTAAATTTAAAGGCGTTTAATTGAGCAATGTATGATTCTCGAATTGGGCAGACCCTGAATCACAGCAGATTCAGAGACCCAGTATACCCAGGTGGTGGAAGATTTATGGACAGCAAAAGGAAAGTGAGGTATGGACACAACCGGATTGGTTACAGGTCAGCGTTTGTCTTTTGTTTTTTGTTTTTTTTTTTTTTAGATGGAGTCTTGCTCTGTCGCCCAGGCTGGAGTGCAGTGGCTCGATCTCGGCTCACTGCAACCTCTGCCTCCCAGGTTCAAGCAATTCTCCTGCCGCATCCTCCCGAGTAGCTGGGATTATAGGCGTACACCACCACACCCAGCTAATTTTTGTATTTTTAGTAGAGACGGTGTTTCACCATGTTGGCCAGGCTGGTCTCGAACTCCTGACCTCAGGTGATTTGCCCTCCTTGGCCTCCCAAAGTTCTGGGATTACAGGGGTGAGCCACTGCACCCGGCCTGCCTTTACGTATATCTTCTTTTGAGTGCCTCCCTTTTCACGTTGTTTTTCTTCCATTTCCATTTCCCCAAGAGAAGAATAAAAGGATTCTTATAAATTGTTAAGTCCATTGTTTCTGAGGAAAAGTGACTAACTTGTAAGGGATAAAGCAGTGAAAGTAGGCTGAGGTCATGGGGCACGAAGGAAAGAAACCGTTGGGAGCAAAAAGAATTCTGGTGGTGGAGATTAGTGGGTGGGACCAGCTGAGATGACAGAGAAGCCCTGACCTGAGAGATAGATCTGGCCTCCGGGAGTGGAGACAAAGGTACTGCCTGAGTAGGAGCCAGAACGGATATGATTCCGACAGGCTGAGAAAGTAGAACCTCGCGGTAAAGGAGCTAGGCCTGAAATAAGGGGTGTGGCCATGGCTGGATGGATGAGCACGGGAGGAGGAGAAGCGTGGCCGTGACCAGTAGCAAAAGAGGGCGGAGCCAGGGCCGCTCGAAGGCGGGGCGGGGAAGGGACAGGGCGTGGCCCTAGGGCAGGGCTGGGCGAGTCAGAGGTTCGGGAAGGGGCGTGGCCCCCGGACGCGGTCCCCGGGCTATGGTTAGGGAAGTGGGCGTGGTGGAGAGATGGGCGGTGAAGAGACCTGGCCCTTCAGGGGAGGCGGGCGGATCCGTGGCGATGACCAGAAGGGTCATCGGAAGGGGGTGGCCGTCGGCCGGGCCCCGCCCTGGGGCCGCCTCCCGGCGGGTTCCGTTGGCTGTGGCGGCAGCTGACGCTTGTGGCTGCGCTGGCGGCAGTGGCTTCGGGGTGGGCGTAAGATGGCGACAGCAGCGGCGGGAGCCCTAAGCTTGCTGTGGGGCTGGCTGTGGAGCGAGCGCTTCTGGCTACCCCAGAACGTGAGCTGGGCTGACTTGGAGGGACCGGCAGACGGCTACGGGTACCCGCGCGGCCAGCATGTCCTCTCAGTGTTTCCGCTGGCGGCGGGCATCTTCTTCGTGAGGCTGCTCTTCGAGAGGTGAGAGCCCGCGAGCGAGCGGCGCCGGGGACCGGGCGCGGGCCGGGGGCGCCCTGCTGTAGGAAGGGCCGAGGGCCGGAAGCAGAACTGCTTGCAGTGAAAGCGTGGAAGCAGGGGCTGGGGAAGCTTGGGCCGCGGCGGGTGATGCTAGGCGCATGGGCAAGGTGGTCGCGGAGCCTGGGTGGAGAAGGATTTTGGGGCGTGGGAAAGTGAAAGAGTGAGGGTCTAGGGGAACGCTGTGCCCTTAAATGTTAGATCCAGAGTTGGCTTGGAAGGGGGGTCTTATAGGCCTCCTCTCAACCTCCAAGGATCCTACAGATGAGGAAACAGGTTCGGTGTGAGCTCTGGCAGAGGCCCCGAAGACAGGGACAGGAAGGGGCCAGGAGAACCAGAGCTAGTTGTGGCCATGGAGCCGAGGGGTCAACGCAAGGGACAGACGTTCCAAGGGAAAGGAATGGATTCATCAGACACCTGAGTTTCTGAGAATTAAGGGGAACAGGATTGGTTTGGCCATAAGAGTTCGTTTGGTGTGTCAACTCATGCACGTTTGTTGGTAGGAGGGTAGAAATCTGGTTGGGATAGGGTGTGGTGAACGCTGAGGCTTCCAAAGTATGGAAAGATGTCAGATTAGTTGCAGAAGAGCCCTTGGGGCCTGAAATGGAAGGAGTGTTGGAAGGGATGGAGAGCCGTAGGGCTTATCAGAGAACAGCTATATTGAGCCAGCTTCTTTTTTTTTTTTTTTTTTTTTTGAGACAGAGTTTTGCTCTGTTGTCCAGGTTGGAGTGCAGTGGTGTGATCTCGGCTCACTGCAACCTCCGCCTCCCCGGTTCAAGCGATTTTCATGCCCAGCCTCCCCAGTAGCTGGGATTATAGGCGCGCGCCACACGCCTGGCTAATTTTTGTATTTTTAGTAGAGAAGGGGTTTTGCCATGTTGGCCAGGCTGGTCTGGAACTCCTGACCTCAAGTAATCCATCCGTCTCTGCCTCCCAAAGTGCCGGGATAACAGGCGTAAGCCACCGCGCCTGGCCTTGAGCCAGCTTCTAAATGAGTTTAGCAGAATTGCGATATAATTTGTCCAACCGTGTGATTTCACCTTTAAGTGAATGGATCATATCTGTTTGTCCAAGATAAAGATATTCACTGAGGCTTTGGTGTGTGATATTATTATAATGTGAGTTTATAGCTGTGGGTGACTTTGATCAAGTCTACTCGGACTCCAGGAAAGGAGACATCTCTCTGCCATAGGTCTCAGGTAATGAGGGTGGTTCTCGGACATCTGTTCATTTTGCCTTTATCCAAGCATAAATGATTGCAATGCAGGAATGCCCTTTCTAGGATGGGAATATGTTGCAGGTGAAATAGTCTGTTAATTTCTAAACGATAGTATCTGTTTGGGATTGCTTCCTTGATTTGCCTACTATTTTTGACTCAAATCTTTCAAAATATTGTGTTCTATTTATCTAGTCACTCATCCATTTATTCATAGTATTTGTGTATCATCATCAAAATGCTCCGCCAGATGTTCAAGTGCAAAAATAAAGATGCTTAAGTGAAGCAAATGAAACCCAAAGATCTAAATGGCTTTCCTGGGACCTCAGGAACTTGGAGTAGCAAGGTTTTTCGTTTCTTTGGTTTTTTGTTTTTGAGACAGAGTCTCACTTTGTCGCCCAGGCTGGAGTGCAGTGATGCAATCTCGGCTCACTGCAACCTCCACCTCCCGGGTTCAAGCAATTCTCTACCTCAGCCTCCCCAGGAGCTGGGATTACAGGCACCGACCACCATGCCCGGCTAATTTTTGTATTTTTAGTAGAGATGGGGTTTCACCATGTTGGCCAGGCTGGTCTGGAACTCCTGACCTCATGATCCACCTGCCTCGGCCTCCTAAAGTGCTGGGATTACAGGCGTGAGCCACCGCGCCCGGCCTTTTTTTGTTTGTTTGCATGTTTAAGTGTAGTCATTGTATTTAGTCTTCCTGGAGTGGAGGCACAAGCTGCTTGTCTTTATTAGGATTAAACTAGATCCAAGTACTCTCTTAGTCTCTGTATATAAGGAGAAAAGCAATGTAATGACTAAAAAGGAAAATAGACAAGTTAGGACAAATTTTTTTTTAAAAGGTGATTGTCAAAGAAAAAGATCTCTGCTTTTCATATAAATGTGTGCCAATATGGGAATTTCCCCATGTTGCTGGTAAGAGGAAGTAGCTTGTTGCTTATAAACACCCACTTTATATCAACTTATGTATCTCTTCAGATTCCAAAGTGTTCCCTCACATGGCTGAAGATATATATCCCCTGGCAGAGCTGCTGGAAGGGATCCTTCACCTGTGGGAATTCTATCTGAACGTTTCTATGGTGTTCCAGTGTCAGGGGAGTACAGGTGTATGGGAATACTGAGCTGAAGGCATTGTGGTATGATATTTCTTGGCTAGTAAGGACAGGCACCTTGTTTGTCTCATGTTTGCTCTTAGGAAAATTTAACCCTAGAAGCACTCTTGCTATTTTGTTTCTCTTAAGTCCCATTACCTCAGTAATAGAATTCACTGCTGAATTGCCAATTCCTCTTCTTACTGTTCTGGTCTTCCATAAAGGAAATAGAGCCACTCCACTCTTTTGTTGTTGTTTTTTAGACAGGGTCTCGGTGTCAGTCTCACTCCGGTTGGAGTGCAGTGGTGCAAAGCTCACTCTAGCCTCGACCTCCTTGGTTCAAGCAGTCCTCCTGCCTCAGCCTCTCAAGTAGCTGGGACCATAGGTGCTCACCACTATGCCAAGCTAATTTTAAAGAAAAATTGGGGGGACAGGCATGGTGGCTCACACCTGTAATCCCAGCACATTGGAGGCCGAGGTGGGCAGATCACTGAGGCCAGGAGTTCGAGACCAGCCTGGCCAACATGGTGAAACCCCATCTCTACTAAAAATACAAAAATTAGCTGGGCATGGTGGTACATGCCTGTAATCCCAGCTACTCAGGAGGCTGAGGCAGGAGAATCACTTGAACTGGAGAGGTGGAGGTTGCAGTGAGCCGAGATTGTACTGTTGCACTCCAGCGTGGGCAACAGAGGAAAACTCTGTCTCAAAAAAAAAAAAAATTATAGAGGCTGGGCATGGTGGCTCATGCCTGTAATCCCAGCACGTTGGGAGGCCAAGGAGGGCAGATCACTCGAGCCTAGGAGTTTGAGACCAGCCTTGGCAACATGGTGAACCCTTGTCTCTATAAAAAAACATTTAAAAATTAGCTGGGTGTGGTGGTGCACACCTGTAGCCCCAGCAACTCGGGAGGCTGAGGCGGGAGGATTGCTTGAGCCCGGGAGGTTGAGACTGCAGTGAGCCATGACACACCACTGCACTTCAGCCTGGGTGACAGAGTGAGACCCTATCTCAAAAACATAAATAAAATAAAATAAATTTTTATAGAGAAAGGGTCTCACCATGTTGCCCAGGCTAATCCGGAACTCCTGGCCTCAAGCAATTCTCATGCCTCAGCTTCCCAAAGTTTTGGAATTACTGGCATAGCCACTGCCCCAGCCTAGATGGAGCCACTTGTAGAATGCAATAGAAGGCATATCAAAATATCAGGGCCTGGCCTTGCACGGTGGCTCATGCCTATAATCCCAGCACTTTGGGAGGCCAAGGCAGGTGGATCACTTGAGGTCAGGAGTTTGAGACCAGCCTGGCCAACAACATGAAACTTCATCTCTACTAAAAATACAAAAATTAGCCCAGTGTAGTGGCAGGTGCCTGTAATCCCAGCTACTCGGGAGGCTGAGGCTGAGGCAGGAGAACGGCTTGAACCCGGAAGGTGGAGGTTGCAGTGAGCTGAGATTGCACTACTGCACTCCAGCCTGGGCGACAGTGACACTCCTGGCCTAGGGCCAGGTGCGGTGGCTCAGGCCTGTAATCCCAGTACTTTGGGAGGCCAAGGGGAGTGGATCATGAAGTAAGGAATTCAAGACCAGCCTAGTCAAGATAGTGAAACCTCGTCTCTACTAAGTAAACTACAAAAATTAGCTGGGTGCGGTGGCAGGTGCCTGTAATCTCAGCTACTCGGGAGGCTGAGGCAGGAGAATCGCTTGAACCTGGGTGGCAGAGGTTGCAGTGAGCGAAGATTGTGGCACTGTACTCCAGCCTGGGCCACAGAATGAGACTCTGTCTCTAAATAAATAAATAAATATTGGGGCCTGGCATGGTGGTTGACACCCATAATCCCAACACTTTGGGAGGCCAAGGTGAGAGAACTGCTTGAGGCCAGGAGTTTGAGATCAGCCTGGGCAACATAGCAAGACTCTGGTTCTACAAAAAATAAAAATGTTAGCCGGGTGTCATAGCATGCATCTGTAGTCTCAGCTACTCAAGAGGCTGAGGCAGGAAGATGGCAGGAGCTCAGGAGTTCTAGGCTGCAATGAGCTATGATAGTGCCAGTGTACTCCAGCCTGGGCAAAGGAGTGAGACCCTGTCTCTTAAAAGAAAGAAAGAAGGCTGGGCGCGGTGGCTAACACCTATAATCCCAGCACTTTGGGAGGCCGAGGCAGGTGGATCGCGAGGTCAGGAGTTCTAGACCATCCTGGTCAACATGGTGAAACCCCGTCTCTACTAAAAATACAAAAATCAGCTGCATGGTAGCGCGTGCCTGTAATCCCAGCTACTCAGGAGGCTGAGGCAGGAGAATTGGTTGAACCCAGGAGGCAGAGGTTGCGGTGAGCCGAGATCACGCCATTGCACTCCAGCCTGGGTAACAAGAGCGAAACTCGGTCTCAAAAAAAAAAAAGAAAGAAAGAAAGAGAGCCGGGCATAGTGGCTCATGCCTGTAATCCCAGCACTTTGGGAGGCTGAGGCGGGCGGATCACCTGAGGTCAGGAGTTCGAGACCAACCTGGCCAACGTGGTGAAGCCCCATCTCGATTAAAAATACAGAAATTAGCTGGGCATAGTAGCACGTGCCTGTAATCCCAGCTTCTTGAGAGGCTAAGGCAGGAGAGTCACTCGAACCTGAGAGGCAGAGGTTGC